GGGGGGGGGGCTCGCTCCCCACGCTCCCACGCCGGCCACCAAGCTAAGGGGGGGTCGCTAACCAAGGGGGGGGTCGCTCCCACGCCGGCCACCAAGCTAAGGGGGGGGGTCGCTCCCACGCCGGCCACCAAGCTAAGGGGGGGTCGCTCCCACGCCGGCCACCAAGCTAAGGGGGGGGTCGCTCCCACGCCGGCCACCAAGCTAAGGGGGGGTCGCTCCCACGCCGGCCACCAAGCTAAGGGGGGGTCGCTCCCACGCCGGCCACCAAGCTAAGGGGGGGTCGCTCCCACGCCGGCCACCAAGCTAAGGGGGGGTCGCTCCCACGCCGGCCGGCCCAAGCTAAGGGGGTCGCTCCCACGCCGGCCACCAAGCTAAGGGGGTCGCTCCCACGCCGGCCACCAAGCTAAGGGGGGTCGCTCCCACGCCGGCCACCAAGCTAAGGGGGTCGCTCCCACGCCGGCCACCAAGCTAAGGGGGTCGCTCCCACGCCGGCCACCAAGCTAAGGGGGTCGCTCCCACGCCGGCCACCAAGCTAAGGGGGCGCTCCCACTGGACCCGGTCGCTCCCACGCCGGCCACCAAGCTAAGGGGGTCGCTCGGCCACCAAGCTAAGGGGGTCGCTCCCACGCCGGCCACCAAGCTAAGGGGGTCGCTCCCACGCCGGCCACCAAGCTAAGGGGGTCGCTCCCACGCCGGCCACCAAGCTAAGGGGGTCGCTCCCACGCCGGCCACCAAGCTAAGGGGGTCACTTCCACGCCGGCCACTAAGGTAAGGGGGCTGCTTCCATGCCGACCACCAACATAAAGGGGGGGGGGGGGGGGGGGGTCGCTTCCACACTCATAGGCAGCAAATGGACTATGTGCAAAGTAAAGATTGTAGAACCTGCACCAAGGTCCTGGATGCAATTTCAAGCAGGAACACTGCCTGCATGGAGTATGTATGTTCTCCATATGTCTGTGTTCCTTACCTTTGGCCTCCACCCAGAACACAAAAGCACATTGGTAGACTGCTCGGCTTTTGATGAAAACTGGTCCCAGACTGAATTTATGTTTAATGGAGACATCTGCATTACTGCACCCAGCCCAGCAGCTCCAAAATCACCTGAAGAAGTGTCCTGTGTGACACCATGGAGTGCATTGTCGGCATTTTCATCGTTTATTTTTGTAACAATTATATACATACTGTGTTGACTAATCCACTTTATTTCTGTCTCTCCGGAAGCAATACCTCCCCAAATTGGGTGCCTCTGTCAGATTTACCAAATCACACCTACGGGGGGGGGGGGGGGGGGGGGGGGGGGTCACACAACACCAGTACAATTCTCTCAGTAGGGGCACCAAGTGATCACCTTTGTGAAGATGTCAGGTTATCTTTGAAGTTATACAAAAATAATACTTCACATCCTTCAGCAGTACAACGACGTGTCTTACCTGCTCCTTTCATGAAGTCATGATAGCGCTGCACCCATTGTGAGAGCGCGGCCTCCATCTTTACAGCTCCTCACAGCCTGGGAAGAGACAGGGAAGGGAGGTTAGGATGATGAACAGTAACTGACGGTTTGTGTAAACTGATAGAAAACAACAGTAAAAAACAATAGTAACGGTGTATTAAAACAAAATAAATCACAACCAAGAATCCAAATGGGTTTAAATAGTTTACAAAAAAAAAAAAAAAACTTTTTTTATTTTTCCCGGATAAGTGTGGAAGGGTTAGAACCTTTGGCAGGTTTTTATAGCTCAAATACATTACCAAAATTAATTCACACTAGAACGTGGTGCGGGAAAGGAGAGTTCCTTCTGCGTTTCCAGCACCCCCCTCAAAACACACTGCCTTTGCGATCTGCTGTGGGTACCAATGTATTCTTTACAGCACCCCCAAAATGCAGATCGCAAAGGAAGTACATTTGCAGCCACCAAATCACATGGTACTGAAGTACCATGCGATTTGGTGCAGTGCGTTTCTCCTTCCCCCCCCCCCCCCCCCCCCCCCCCCCCCCCCCCCCCCCCCCCCCCCCTCCCCCCCCCCCCCCCCCTTCCCAAGGTACTGCACATACTTTTTTTTTTTTTCCCCTTGTGTTATGCTGCAATTAGAAGCCCATTCAAATTAGGTCCATATGGATATAGGCGGAAAGTGCGCACTCTCGGGGGTAATTTGAGGGTATGTGCATCCAAACTGGAGGAAGGGTTTAGGAATTACAGCTCTTAAGAGTAGCCATCCCCTCTTTTTCAAGGGACCAAAAGTAATTGGACAACTGAATCAAAAGCTGTTTCATGGCCAGGTGTGGGCTACTCCATTATTTCTTCATCAATTAAGCAGGTAAAATGTCTGGAGTTGATTCTAAGTGCGGGATTTGCATTTGGAATCTATTGCTGTGAACCTCCATCATGTGTTCGAAGGAAACTGTCCATGCAAGTGAAACAGGCCATTGTAAGGCTTCAAAAACAAAACCAATCCATCAGAGAGATCGCAGCAACATTAGGAGCGGCCAAATCATCAGTTTGGTCCATTCTGAGGAAAGAAGAACGCACTGGTGAGCTCAGCAACATAAAAAGCCATGGACGTCCACGGGAGACAACAGTGGTGGATGATCACAGGATCCTCTCTATGGTAAAGAAAAACCCATTCACAACATCCAGACAAGTGAAGGACACTCTCCAGGAGGGGGGCGTATCATTGTCAAAGTCTACAATCAAGAGAAGACTTCACGAGAGCAAATACAGAGGGTTCACCACAAGGTGCAAATACAGAGGGTTCTCCACAAGGTGCAAACCATCCATAAGCCTGAAGAATAGAAAAGCCAGATTAGACTTTGCCAAAAAACATCTAAAAAAGCCGGAACAGTTCTGGAAAAGCATTCTTTGGACGGATGAAACTAAGATGAATCTGTACCACAATGACGGGAAGAAGAAATTGTGGAGAAGACTTGGAACAGCTCATGATCCAAAGCACACAACATCATCTGTAAAACATGGCGGAGGCAAGGTGATGGCATGGGCAGAGGCAAGGTGATGGCATGGGCAGAGGCAAGGTGATGGCATGGGCAGAGGCAAGGTGATGGCATGGGCAGAGGCAAGGTGATGGCATGGGCAGAGGCAAGGTGATGGCATGGGCGGAGGCAAGGTGATGGCATGGGCGGAGGCAAGGTGATGGCATGGGCGGAGGCAAGGTGATGGCATGGGCGGAGGCAAGGTGATGGCATGGGCGGAGGCAAGGTGATGGCATGGGCGGAGGCAGGGTGATGGCATGGGCGGAGGCAGGGTGATGGCATGGGCGGAGGCAGGGTGATGGCATGGGCGGAGGCAGGGTGATGGCATGGGCGGAGGCAAGGTGATGGCATGGGCGGAGGCAAGGTGATGGCATGGGCGGAGGCAAGGTGATGGCATGGGCGGAGGCAAGGTGATGGCATGGGCGGAGGCAAGGTGATGGCATGGGCGGAGGCAAGGTGATGGCATGGGCGGAGGCAAGGTGATGGCATGGGCGGAGGCAAGGTGATGGCATGGGCGGAGGCAAGGTGATGGCATGGGCGGAGGCAAGGTGATGGCATGGGCGGAGGCAAGGTGATGGCATGGGCGGAGGCAAGGTGATGGCATGGGCGGAGGCAAGGTGATGGCATGGGCGGAGGCAAGGTGATGGCATGGGCGGAGGCAAGGTGATGGCATGGGCGGAGGCAAGGTGATGGCATGGGCGGAGGCAAGGTGATGGCATGGGCGGAGGCAGGGTGATGGCATGGGCGGAGGCAAGGTGATGGCATGGGCGGAGGCAGGGTGATGGCATGGGCGGAGGCAGGGTGATGGCATGGGCGGAGGCAGGGTGATGGCATGGGCGGAGGCAGGGTGATGGCATGGGCGGAGGCAGGGTGATGGCATGGGCGGAGGCAGGGTGATGGCATGGGCGGAGGCAGGGTGATGGCATGGGCGGAGGCAGGGTGACGGCATGGGCGGAGGCAGGGTGATGGCATGGGCGGAGGCAGGGTGATGGCATGGGCATGCATGGCTTCCAGTGGCACTGGGTCATTGGTGGTTATTGATGATGTGACAGAAGACAGAAGCAGCCGGATGAATTCTGCCGTGTTTACAGATATACTGTCAGCCCAGATTCAGCCAAATGCAGCAAAGGTGATTGGACGGCGCTTCACAGTACAGATGGACAATGATCCAAAACACACTGCAAAAGCAACCCAGAAGCTTTTGAAGACAAAAGTGGAATATTCTGCAATGGCCGAGTCAATCACTTGATCTCAACCCAATTAAGCATGCATTTCACTTGCTGAAGGCAAAACTAAAAAGAGGTAGAAAGACCCACAAACAAAGAACTGAAGACAGCTGCAGTTAGAGCCTGGCAAAGCATCAGAAAGGAGGAAACCCAGTCTTTGGTCATGTCCATGGACTTCAGGCAAAGCATCAGAAAGGAGGAAACACAGCCTTCGGTCATGTCCATGGGTTCCAGACTTCAGGCAAAGCCTCAGAAAGGAGGAAATCCAGTCTTTGGTCATGTCCATGGGTTCCAGACTTCAGGCAAAGCATCAGAAAGGAGGAAACACAGCCTTTGGTCATGTCCATGGGTTCCAGACTTCAGGCAAAGCCTCAGAAAGGAGGAAATCCAGTCTTTGGTCATGTCCATGGGTTCCAGACTTCAGGCAAAGCCTCAGAAAGGAGGAAATCCAGTCTTTGGTCATGTCCATGGGTTCCAGACTTCAGGCAAAGCCTCAGAAAGGAGGAAACCCAGCCTTTGGTCATGTCCATGGGTTCCAGACTTCAGGCAAAGCCTCAGAAAGGAGGAAATCCAGTCTTTGGTCATGTCCATGGGTTCCAGAGTTCAGGCAAAGCCTCAGAAAGGAGGAAACCCAGTCTTTGGTAATGTCTATGTATGGCTCCAATCGCACTGCACACAAATCGATGTGATTTGTACAGGAATGCGGTGCGGCTCTTGTGCGATTCACAGGCAAGATACTGCATTAGTGTGAACCTACCCTGAAGCTTTGACAATGAAACCTGGAAGCTGATTGGTTTCTATGCAGAGCTGCACCAGATTTTGCACTCTCCAGTTTTAGTAAATAACCCCCAATGGAAGGATTTAGGTACATTTTGTCCATCAACCAAACCACTCAATTATGAAAGAGCATTTCAGGGAAGTGAAAGCAATCTGAGAACTACGAATGCTTTACAGTAAACCATTCAACTCCGCTGAAGCCATGAAGTTTCCTCATTTTACCTCCTAATCTAAATTCCATACAATCTGCTATCCCAGAACCCCCTGCAACCTGAGCTGTATAATGTAATTTTCTTACATTTGCCTTCACCGATTCCTCTCTTCCCTCATCAACATGCGAATGACATTTTAATAAAGTGTTTCTTTGACATTATAGACCCTGTGATGTCATCACTGGATCTCTGAGCTTCTCTATGCAATGCGGGCAGATCATGGCTGGTGGGAGGGGCTGGCAGGGTGCTATACATGGCTTCCTGAAAACATCACAGCACCCTGTCTCAGTACTCCTTCAGTCCTGAGGCAAGCAGTGGGCTGACTTTTGGGAGGAGTTATGCAAATATTAAAAATGCCTTGATGGGCCTGCTACAGTCTGGAGGAGTGGGTGTTCCTAGGCAGGCTTTATTTGCATGCAGACCACCCTAGGCAATGCCCACGTTTTGCTGAACCTCCATGATTGAAAGAACTGAAATCCAATGAGGGGGGAAAAAAAAAAAAAAAAGAAGGGGTGGGCCAGGGACAGTTAGGCTAGGGAGGAAGGAGATGGATGCCCTCCAGCCAGAAAACGAGGCGGAGCTCTATCTGACTTGATGCAGCTTCTAATGTGAGGAGCTCACAGTGTGCGGTGAAATCAGAGTAAGCCGTCGCAATCCAGGAGAGGAGCCGGCGCACCTGTGCAAGACTGAAGGGGAGGAGCCGGCGCACCTGTGCAAGACTGAAGGGGAGGAGCCGGCGCACCTGTGCAAGACTGAAGGGGAGGAGCCGGCGCACCTGTGCAAGACTGAAGGGGAGGAGCCGGCGCACCTGTGCAAGACTGAAGGGGAGGAGCCGGCGCACCTGTGCAAGACTGAAGGGGAGGAGCCGGCGCACCTGTGCAAGACTGAAGGGGAGGAGCCAGTACAACTATAACAAGACTGAAGGGAAGTCTGGAGTTCAGCTTTAAAATGCGGACCTTCCCCTATTGTATCGATCAGTGAATATTATGCATATTGATTTCACATTTCTCTTTTGGTGACCTAGGAGTCGTTATCTGACAAACTATTTGTTCCTTCCATCAATATTTTCCACTTCCACCAACCGCGGTGCCAGACAGTCCCTGCCGGTGATCAGTGAGCTTTGACTTCTTACCTACCAAAGTATTTGCAGATACATGAACCACGCAGGAGGTGTCACATACATTGATAGGGAACTACAGAATACCAGGAGGAATGCTACAGGTGAACTGTATTTTATTTATTTGATGTACTTATATAGCACCATCACTGTACGCAGTGCTTTACATACAGTCAGGTCCATAAATATTGGGACATCAACACAATTCTGACATTTTTGGCTCTATACACCACCACAATGGATTTGAAATGAAACTAACAAGATGTGCTTTAACTGCAGACTGTCAGCTTTAATTTGAGGGTATTTACATCCAAATCAAGTGAACGGTGTAGGAATTACAACAGTTTGCACATGTGCCTCCCACTTGTTAAGGGACCAAAAGTAATGGGACAGAATAATAATCATAAATCAAACTTTCACTTTTTAATACTTGGTTGCAAATCCTTTGCAGTCAATGACAGCCTGAAGTGTGGAACGCATAGACATCACCAGACGCTGGGTTTCATCCCTGGTGATGCTCTGCCAGGCCTCTACTGCAACTGTCTTCAGTTCCTGCTTGTTCTTGGGGCATTTCCCTTCAGTTTTGTCTTCAGCAAGTGAAATGCTCCATCGGATTCAGGTCAGGTGATGGACTTGGCCATTGCAGAACATTCCACTTCTTTGGTGTCTTTTGCAGTCTGCTTTGGGTCATTGTCCATCTGCACTGTGAAGCGTCCAATGAGTTGTGAAGCATTTGGCTGAATATGAGCCGATAATATTCCCGAAACACTTCACAATTCATCCGGCTGCTTCTGTCAGCAGTCACATCATCAATAAATACAAGAGAAGCAGTTCCATTGGCAGCCATACATGCCCACGCCATGACACTACCACCACCATGATCACTGATGAGGTGGTATGCTGAGGACCATGAGCAGTTCCTTCTCCATCCTCTTCTCTTCCCATCACTCTGGTACAAGTTGATGTCGGTCTCATCTGTCCATAGGATGTTGTTCCAGAACTGTGAAGGCTTTTTTACATGTCGTTTGGCAAACTCTAATCTGGCCTTCCTGTTTTTGAGGCTCACCAATGGTTTCCATCTTGTGGTGAACCCTCTGTATTCACTCTGGTGAAATCTTCTCTTGATTGGTGACTTTGACACACATACACCTACCTCCTGGAGAGTGTTCTTGATCCGGCCAACTGTTGTGAAGGGTGTTTTCTTCACCAGGGAAAGAATTCTTCGCTCATCCACCACAGTTGTTTTCCGTGGTCTTCCGGGTCTGTTGGTGTTGCTGAGCTCACCGGTGCGTTCCTTCTTTTTAAGAATGTTCCAAACAGTTGTTTTGGCCACGCCTAATGTTTTTGCTATCTCTCTGATGGGTTTGTTTTTTCAGCCTAATGATGGCTTCACTGATAGTGACAGCTCTTTGGATCTCATCTTGAGAGTTGACAGCAACAGATTTCAAATGCAAATAGCACTTGAAATGAACTCTGGACCTTTTATCTGCTCATTGTAATTGGGATAATGAGGGAATAACACACACCTGGCCATGGAACAGCTGAGAAACCAATTGTCCCATTACTTTTGGTCTCTTAACAAGTGGGAGGCACATATGCAAACTGTTGTCATTCCTACACCGTTCACCTGATTTGGATGTAAATACCCTCAAATTAAAGCTGACAGTCTGCAGTTTAAGCACATCTTGTTAGTTTAATTTCAAATCCATTGTGGTGGTGTATAGAGCCAAAAATGTTAGAATTGTGTCCATGTCCCAATATTTATGGACCTGACTGTATATATTGTACATTCACATCAGTCCCTAACCCTCAAGGGGCATACAATCTAAGGTCCCTAACTCACATTCATACATACATACACATACTAGGACCAATTAACCTACCGGCATGTCTTTGGAGTGTCGGAGGAAACCAGAGTACCAGAAGGAAACCCATGCAGGCACAGGGAGAACATGCAAACTGCAGGCAGGTGGTGCCGTGGTTGGGATTCGAACCAACGACCCGAGTACTGCCAGGTGGAAGTGCTAACCATTTAGCCACTGCTGTGCTGCCCACACCTCTATAGAAATCGCTGCTCTGGAGTCACAAGCAAACCAATACAATGTGGGGCCTAATGGAGATCCTTCACCAAAGTCACATCTGTTAAAGTGGCCCTTCCACTAAGTTTCACACACTCTCCCCCCTCCCGTTGGCATACATACAGTCATGGCCAAAAATCTTGCCCCCCGGCATTTCTGTCAGATAACACACCACTTCGCCCAGAAAATTGTTACAATTACAAATTTGACATTTTCAACTTTATTTCTTTGGTTTGTATGATGCAAAAAAAGTGGAGAAACAAACAAAAGCCAAATCTGACACGTTCCACGCAAAACCCCAAAAATGAACTGGACAAAATTATTGGCACCTTCTCAAAATTGTAAGGAATAAATTGCATTCCAAGTTTGTGATGTTCCTGTTATTTGTCATTCGAGGATAAAACATTTTAGGTGCTTCTAAGTGCAGCATCCGGACGAATTTACTGAGTGTTTTTGCTGCAAGTTTGTAAGTGTTTCTAACTGTCGTTATTAACGTTCTTCTGGATATACAGCACTTAGAAGCACATTTGTGTTTTATCCTCTTCTACATACGGAGTTTGCTTCAACTCCCAGAAATGCTGCCCAGTGCCTGTTCCAGTACCTCCTCCATCCTTGGCTGACATCTCTGTCCACAGCCTCCTCCATTGATGCACCCCATCTACATCCTCTATGTAATTTGTCATGAAACTCCCCGTGTCCATGACCAGGTGCTGACATTAGAGAAAGCACTCCGGCAACCAGCTAAAATGGTGAAAAATGGCCTCCACCTTTCTGTTGTGTGTCTCTGTGTGCCACATGGAGCATGGAGAAGAGAAAGAGAAGCAAAAAATTGTCTGAGTATTGGAGAACATAAATTGTGGAAAAGCATGGACAATCTCAAGGTGACAAGTCCATGCTATAGAGGAGCTATGGGAAAAGCTATGGAGGAGCCTCTGCATCGCCCATTCATGTCCTTCAATGTGCACAACGGAGCTGTCAAACCAAACACCCCAGTTCCGCAAATTAGAGTTGGAGATCATGGGCAGCACAGTGGCTAAATGGTTAGCACTTCTACCTGGCAGTACTCGGGTCATTGGTTCAAATCCCTGGACTCCCATCTGGCCTTTCAGTCCCAAATCCAATCACTGTCCAAATCTTGTAGACTTCACCTCCGCAACATCTCCAAGATACGCCCGTTCCTAACCTCGGAAACCACTAAGCAACTCATCCACTCCCTGGTTATATCTCGCCTTGACTATTGTAACTCCCTCCTCATTGGCCGACCTCATCGCAGGCTATCCCCTCTTCAGTTTATCATGAATGCTGCTGCCAGACTCATCCACCTTACTAACTGTTCTGTATCTGCCACCCATCTCTGCCAATCCCTCCACTGGCTTCCACTCAGTATCCTCCACCCCTCTCTGCCAATCCCTCCACTGGCTTCCACTCAGTGTCCTCCACCCATCTCTGCCAATCCCTCCACTGACCTCCACTCAGTGTCCTCCACCCCTCTCTGCCAATCTCTCCACTGACCTCCACTCAGTGTCCTCCATCCCTCTCTGCCAATCCCTCCACTCAGTGTCCTCCACCCCTCTCTGCCAATCCCTCCACTCAGTGTCCTCCACCCCTCTCTGCCAATCTCTCCACTGACCTCCACTCAGTGTCCTCCATCCCTCTCTGCCAATCCCTCCACTGACCTCCACTCAGTGTCCTCCACCCCTCTCTGCCAATCCCTCCACTCAGTGTCCTCCACCCCTCTCTGCCAATCCCTCCACTGACCTCCACTCAGTGTCCTCCACCCCTCTCTGCCAATCCCTCCACTCAGTGTCCTCCACCCCTCTCTGCCAATCCCTCCACTGGCTTCCCATTGCCCAACGGATAAATTTCAAAACATTAATAACATATAAAGCCATTTATAATATCACCCAAACTGTACTCTCCGCTCCTCGCACAACCTCCTGCTCTCCAGCTCCCTGGTCTCCTCCTCCCATGCTAGTCCCCAGAACTTCTCCAGAGCTTCCCCCATCCTCTGGAACTCCCTATCCCAAACTATCATACTATCGCCTACTCTCCTCACTTGTAGACGATCTCCGAAAACCGATCTCTTCAGGGAAGCCTATCCTGCCCTCAGCTACTAATGGAATCTTCTACTCTGCCAACCAGTCCATCCCCCACAGTTATTACCTTTTGTACCACTAGCCCCTCCCTCTTAGATTGTAAGCTCCCAGGATCAGGGCCCTCCTATCCCTCTTGTATTGATCTGTATTGTTGCTGTATTGTCTCCCGTTATATTGTAAAGCGCTGAGCACACTGTTGGCGCCATAAATCCTGTATAATAATAAAATTAATAAATCCCAACCACGGCACCACCTGCCTGAAGTTTGCATGTTCTCCCTGTGCCTGGGGGGGTTTTCTCTGGGTACTCCGGTTTCCTCCCACACTCCAAAGACATGCTGGTAGGTGGATTGGCTCCTGTCTAAATTGTCTCTAGTATGTGTATGTATGAATGTGAGTTAGGGACCTTAGATTGTACGCCCCTTGAGGGTTAGGGACCTTAGATTGTATGCCCCTTGAGGGTTAGGGACCTTAGATTGTATGCCCCTTGAGGGTTAGGGACCTTAGATTGTACGCCCCTTGAGGGTCAGGGACCTTAGATTGTACGCCCCTTGAGGGTCAGGGACCTTAGATTGTACGCCCCTTGAGGGTTCGGGACCTTAGATTGTACGCCCCTTGAGGGTCAGGGACCTTAGATTGTACGCCCCTTGAGGGTTAGGGACCTTAGATTGTGTACGCCTCTTGAGGGTTAGGGACCTTCGATTGTACGCCCCTTGAGGGTTAGGGACTGATGTGAATGTACAATATATATGTAAAGCGCTGCGTAAATTGACGGCACTATACAAGTACCTGAAATAAATAAATCATGGCTCTTCCCGTGGCACTTCACTTGGCTGCCAGCCACCAGCTCCTTCATTTCCTTCTTTAGGCCCCATTCAGACTTCACATAACGGCAACGAGCGTTCCTGCTTGTGATTTTTAAAAGCGCAATTTACAAGTCTCACACAGGGCAGCCCTTTCCCTTAAATGGGCTGTACTATGTGCTTTTTGCCCAAAAGACGTACCTGCTACTTTTTGGGCGACATGTTCAGCACGATTTTTATCTGTTTTGCCGCGTGACGATCTCTGCAAGAAATGCACCGCGCTTGGGGTGCAATTATTTAAATTGTCCCCCAAATGCATGTTGCACATATTCCTTGCGGCTTCACAGCAGGCTGCTCACTGTGCATGCGCGAGCCACATTGCACCCCGTGAACGGTCCCGCAGTCTCCTGGGTCCTTTGATGTGTCCCAAGAAGCTGCGTGCTTTACTGCATCTACAGACTGATTGAGCTGTTGTGGGTTCAGTAACACTTTATTTCACTACAGCAAAGTGCAGCAAACTGGGGTAATCTGCTGCATTATTAATGGGAAGATTATTAGCTGAGAAGACACAGAATTCCATCAGCCACAAATGTTGGACTACATGTCCTTGCATGAAATCCCAGCAGCGTGGATACAAGTAGAAGCACGTAGGATGCCTCATCCCATTCGGATTATTCTGAATTTTCTATTGCAGTGTCCTGGGACGACTCATCACATATAATCTGGGTAGTGTTGGCATTATCCACCCTCCTATACACAGACTGGAAGGGCCGGGTATCGCCTGAGATTGTCAGCGATGTCCTGATCGCTGTTCTCCAAACACGGCGCGGGTGGGGAAGGCCGGGACCGGTGACGGGCAGATGTCACATGGATGAGACATTCACATCAGTACAGTGCAGCGTACAGCAAGTGGAACGTTCCGCTCAGTCCTGCACAGCCTCAGGCCTTCCAACCGCCAAGGAACTACAAGTGTCAGCATGCCATGACGACCTGGGACAACTGCCGAAAAAGCTGGTTCTTTTACTTAGATGGCTGTAGGCAATGACACCATACAAGAGGGTAAACATTACCGAGAACTTGATGTTATTTCTAAAGCCCACTTAGAAGATTTCATTGGACAAAATAAAAGCATCTAATTGGATGAGAGCCTCTTCTAGAATTGATAAGACTCTCTAGGACACTGGAGGTCTCTTTCATCGAGTCCCTGCTCTCTAGGACACTGGAGGTCTCTTTCATCCAGTCCCTGCTCTCTAGGACACTGGAGGCCTCTTTTATCGAGTCCCTGCTCTCTAGGACACTGGAGGTCTCTTTCATCCAGTCCCTGCTCTCTAGGACACTGGAGGCCTCTTTCATCCAGTCCCTGCTCTCTAGGACACTGGAGGCCTCTTTCATCCAGTCCCTGCTCTCTAGGACACTGGAGGCCTCTTTCATCCAGTCCCTGCTCTCTAGGACACTGGAGGCCTCTTTCATCCAGTCCCTGCTCTCTAGGACACTGGAGGCCTCTTTCATCCAGTCCCTGCTCTCTAGGACACTGGAGGCCTCTTTCATCCAGTCCCTGCTCTCTAGGACACAGGAGGTCTTTTTCATAGAGTTCCTGCTGTCTAGGACACTGGAGGTCTCTTTCATCGAGTCCCTGCTCTCCAGGACACTGGAGGCTTCTTTCATCCAGTCCCTGCTCTCCAGGACACTGGAGGCCCCTTTCATCGAGTCCCTGCTCTCCAGAACACTGGAGGCCCCTTTCATCGAGTCCCTGCTCTCCAGGACACTGGAGGCCCCTTTCATCGAGTCCCTGCTCTCTAGGACACTGGAGGCCCCTTTCATCCAGTCCCTGCTCTCTAGGACACCGGAGGCCCCTTTCATCCAGTCCCTGCTCTCTAGGACACCGGAGGCCCCTTTCATCGAGTCCCTGCTCTCCAGGACACTGGAGGCCCCTTTCATCGAGTCCCTGCTCTCCAGGACACTGGAGGCCCCTTTCATCCAGTCCCTGCTCTCTAGGACACTGGAGGTCTTTTTCATAGAGTTCCTGCTCTCTAGGACACCGGAGGCCTCTTTCATCCAGTCCCTGCTCTCTAGGACACTGGAGGCCTCTTTCATCCAGTCCCTGCTCTGCAGGACACTGGAGGCCCCTTTCATCGAGTCCCTGCTCTCTAGGACACCGGAGGTCTCTTTCATCGAGTCCCTGCTCTCTAGGACACTGGAGGTCTCTTTCATCGAGTCCCTGCTCTCTAGGACACTGGAGGTCTTTTTCATAGAGTTCCTGCTCTCTAGGACACTGGAGGTCTTTTTCATAGAGTTCCTGCTCTCTAGGACACTGGAGGCCTCTTTCATCGAGTCCCTGCTCTCTAGGACACTGGAGGTCTCAATCGAGTCCCTGCTCTCTAGGACACTGGATGTCTCCTTCATCGAGTCCCTGCTCTCTAGGACACTGGAGGTCTCTTTCATCGAGTCCCTGCTCTCTAGGACACTGGAGGTCTCTTTCATCGAGTCCCTGCTCTCTAGGACACTGGAGGTCTCTATCGAGTCCCTGCTCTCCGTCTATTAAGTGGCCAACATATTGCTTTCTTCATTTAAAGGAGAAGTATGGGATTTGAAGAAAAACAAACCTGCATACTGGCCTCCATGCTGCAGCATCGGTGTTATGCTGCATCTGCCCTACCTCGGCTCCAACACCGGCAGGGCTTTTGTGAGGGAACGCAGTTCTGGCACCTCCAGCACTGAATGTATGTAATGGCAAGGGGTGCTGAGGTGTGCTGGAAGGTCAATTGATGCTGGCAGGAATCTATTTTCATTGGAGGGGATCTATTTTTGCTGGGGAGGGGTCATGTTGCTGGAAGGGCTCTACTGCTGAGGCAGGGGTCTCTTGATGCTCGCTGCTGGGGGGAATCTATTGTCACTGGAGAGGATCTATTTTTGCTGGGGAGGTCTCATGTTGCTGGTGGGGGGGGACCTACTGTTGCTGGAAGGGCTTTATTGCTGAGGGAGGGGTCTCTTGTTGCTGGCTGCTGGGGGGAATCTATTGTCACTGGAGAGGATCTATTTTTGCTGGGGAGGTCTCATGTTGCTGGTGGGGGACCTACTGTTGCTGGAAGGGATCTACTGCTGAGGGAGGGGTATTTTGTTGCTGGCTGCTGGGGGGAATCCAATGTCATTAGAGGGGATCTATTTTTGCATGTTGATCTATTTTTGCTGGGGAGGTCTCATGTTGCTGGTGGGAGACCCATTGTTCCTGGAAGGGATCTACTGTTGAGGGAGGGATCTCTTGCTGCTGGGGGGGAATTATTGTCACTAGAGAGGATCTATTTTTCCAATGCGATCTATTTTTGCTGGGCAGGTCTCACGATGTTGGTGGGGGACCTATTGTTGGTGGAAGGGATCTACTGTTGAGGGAGGGGTCTATGTTGCTGGCTGCTGGAGAGTCTATTCTTGCGGGCTGCTTGGAGATTTGTTGTTGCTGCTGGAGGTCTATTGTTGCTGGGGTGGTATTTTTTTTTACTGGGGTCCATTGTTGCTGGGGGATCTATTACTGCTGTCTGCAGGGGATCCATTTTATTGCTTTTCTTGTTATCACTAACAAATTCCATACAAATTAATTACTTAGCACCACAGAATGATACTTGGCTGTGTTTTCTCTATAAGGAGCGATACTGGTTTGTGGACAGGAGGTAGAACCAGGGGACTGTACTCAGGAGGTGGGTGGGGGGGCGCCGA